TCAGAAAAAAATTGTATTTAATATGGGTATTAAATTCCCAATATAATTAATACAAAACAGGTAATTAATATATTCATTTTTTTCATACCCAAAATATCCTTGGTTGTGAATCTGACAACCTCCAAGGGGGTTGTCACCGTATCCTGTCCCACATAAGTAACCTTACACGTACATCCAAGTATCCTAAGTTAAATAATTTTTCGCAAGTAGAGGTTACTTTGGCAACATACTGCTAAGCGACAGTAGCTCAAAGTTAAATTATTAGTTCAACCGGAGAAAACTTTGATTCTACTATTTCTTTAAGCAATATGACATCCACACAATCGTTACAAGTATGGATACAATCTAATTATTCTTGTTTAGTACGTGCTATATGAATTTTAAATATGCTATACGAATTTTATATGTGTTTAGTACGGGAGCTATCAAATAAATAAAAAATAAAATAGGTTAACAATAAGATGGATACTGAAATTTTAAGCTGATAAAGAATGTACGTATTAAAAGGGGTGTTTATTGTAATAATGAGCTAATTCTAAAAGGGTAGTGAAAAAATTGACTCAAATTTTGACCCAATCACAAAGGTTGGGTGTGTTCATCATTCTAAAAGACAAAAGTGAAGTGTGATATAACGGAAGTTTGGATCCGTTCCGTCACTTGCTCCCGATTTTGGTTAACAATTTAAATAATAATAGAAATAAACTTGTACCCAATCACAAGGTGCCACATGGGCTGGAAGCAGCTATGGGCAGCAACCCAGTTTGCTGCTAAGTTTCGCCCTTTTTATAATATGAAAACGAGAAGGTCAGTTTTTATCGGCTTTAAGCTTGTCCGCCGGTTAATAATTATTATAATTTATATTGCATTCCTTACGGAATAAGGATGAGAATTTACCTCCACGGTGCATGTGAATTGTTTTGTTTTACGGATTATAGTGATTGTCTTTCGTACCGGATATTAACTCACTGTTATGTTGCTAATTATATTAATTTAGTGTTTATCGGTTACGGAGTCACGGTTATGGAGACATCTTTTCATGATGATGATTTCAATAATCATTATTATTATATGTTCCGTTACGGTATTAATGATTCGGAAAGTAAAGTTGGTTGTTATTTAAGGATAACAACCATTGTTGAGCACTTCATTAAGACGATGATAATAGTAAACTCTCATCATTTAGTTAATGCGTTCATGCATATTATGAGATGTGTTCTTCATTTACATGCATGGATTTTGCATTTGAGATTAGGGATGGCAATTTTGCCATACCCATGGGTATTTTACTATCCAACCCAATTGGGTTGGGTATGAAATCCAAATATATGGATATGGGTAAAGTTTGATGGGTTTGTACCCATACCCATTTACTTTGGGTTGGGTTGGGTTTATAACAAATGGATTTGGGTTTGTACCCATGCCCAAATACAAATTACAGTTTGGTACTTAAACTTAATAGATATGCATATTTAGTACCTAAATTTTTTTTTTTGCATATAAGTCCTCAAAATATCGATGAAAAATTACGTTTTGGTACCTAAATTTTTTTGGTCTTACATTTTGGTACCTAAAATTTTCAAGTTTTACAAATAAGTCCAATTTTTGCATGTGTAGTTAAAACACCCTCAAGTAAATGGATATCCATATTCAACCCATACCCATTTAGATAATATCCATATCTAACCCAAACCCATATACAAACCCCAAACCCATATACACATCACCCAAACCCTACCTATAATAAATAGGTCTACTTGGGTTTGGGCAAAATTACCCATGGGTGGGTAAATTGCCATCCCTATTTGAGATATTAACGTGGTTGATTACTACTATTCTGAGTTATTACTTTGGCATGCAAAACTTGTGCATTGCCGGTTATGGTTGTTGTCTGTTATACCTTATTTTTTGTTATGATAAGGTTGCACCATGATTTTATGGGTCCATTAATAAATTTAACTAGAATGTCTCGACTAGCCATATGGATTCCAGTTTTTTCTAGTTTCCGCTGCGTAATGATGATTGGATCGTTAAAATACACTATACAGTTACTTTGTGCATTTCATGTCTTGTAATTTGTTTGGTAAACAAGATAAGTTTATGAGGAATATATGCCTCATTTCAATAAACCAATGTTTGGGGCTCGGTTTGAAAATCTTAATCCCTATACGGTAAAGGTTTACATTTTAGTGCATGCAAATTATGTATTCTCCGACCCAAAGGTAGGTGAATATTTGAGGTTTCATATGCGTGCACATAGTAATAAATATGTGATGATTATTTAGTTCGCATGTGAACGTTAATCGGCCCAAAGGTAGATTTACTATCACATGTTCTTATCATCAATATTTAATTACTCGATCATAAGACATTACTTACAAGTTAATATTTTGTCCAAGGACAAATATTAATGGAGTACATTGTGTCTTGGGATGGAGTAAACCTTTATTTAAATTATTATTGTAATTCTCTCTTAATGGTAACTAATCACTTATTAATATTTTGTGATTATGAGAGAATTGTCCAGTATTTTAATTAAATTAATTTTAGCAGTATGTTGCCAAAGTAACCTCTACTTGCGAAAATTATTTAACTTAGGATACTTGGATGTACGTGTAAGGTTACTTATGTGGGTAGTGATCGACCCAAAGGACAACACTAACTGACCAAGTAATCAAACACCTTAATGATAAATATGTGATAATTATAAAGTTAATGTTCATGTGAATAACAGTCGGTCCAAAGATAGACTGTTGTTTGACGGAACTTATTATGAGTATTTGATCATTGTATTAAGAGTACCGCTCGCAGTTAATTTCTCTGTCCAAAGACTAAGAATTAATGTTGCATTTGGTATCTTATGATGGGTTCCCAAAATTGGATAAGGTTCTTGTCTTGTTTTATTACATGGTATGATGTGTGTTTTCTTTTATCTTTGTAGAGTTTTCATGCCTTATTTCAAATATTTATGCCAAATTTAAAGTTAACTCTTCTGCTAAAAGGGATGAATTAAAGAACTGAAAGTAAAATCAAGAAAATTATTCTCGAGATATGGGCTTTAATCTTGCGCTTTTGTGTGGAATAGTCCCTACTCTACTACGGAAAATCTCAATGAGATTTAAATAGGCAGGAATTACTCCAATTAAGTGTGCTTGATGATATAAGCGTTGTATTCGATGAATAATTTTGAGGCTCTTTTACTGAGACATGCATTTGTAATGTTCATTGCAGTAATAATACAATATTTTGCCAAACGTAAAAGATCCGGGGTAAGTTACCTATTGGGGTAATTTAATCCATAAAGTTTAAAGGCAAAATGTACAAGCGTATTATATTTTAGAGGTGTCTTATGTCGCATTAAAATCAAGTGACTAAAGTTAGAATTGTCAAAAGACAAGCTCAACACTTGGTTTAATTTATCTTCCTCCGTGAAATTTCAAGTGAGTACTAATACTCCCAAAAGAAAAGGAGGGAAGATACGAGATAAGATTGCACTTGTTCAGATTCTCAGTAAATGGCACAAATAGAGAGCCAAGGATGTTGTGGTTCGTTGAACTCTCAAGGATATGGCGAGGAGTATAATTGTGCATTTATGCTTACTATACTCCATTTGGATAAAAGCCATAAAGATTACAACGTACATCCTTAAATTGAGCATCCATAAAGTAGTTAATGTAACTAATACGTGCAATAAGGTACTTGCACATTTAGAGATGTCCAAATAAGGAAAACCTTATAAGGTACAAAAGGTATAATGGACAAAAGGATACAATTAACTTATACCTTGTTGGCTACTCAAAAGCACTCTCGAGGCTACAAGTTTTACAATCTCACATCAAGAAGTTTTTTTTTTTTTTAGAAATGAGAAATTTCTTGAGTATATTGAGTTTTGGGGGGAAGGAACCATATGGAAATGTTGTTTCTGCACAAACTCAACAAACTCAAGAAATGCCATCAATTAGGATATCCACAAAGCAATTGTATCTTCTTTGAACATAAGGATGACGTCAGGTTGACTAATGATCAGGTTCGTATTAGTCTAATCATGCACAATTCTAGTTCTGAAGAGTGGATTGATGCTATGTGGTGAAGTAAAGGATTGATGCTGTGTTTGAGAAGATGTACTGAAGGAAAACGTAGAGCAGCTAGGGTTCCTTATGCCCTCCTTTGTTCTCGTTTTTATAAATTGACCCTTTTGCCCTCTCTTTTTCGTTTAAATTAATCCATCTTGCCACCGTCCACTTCTGAAAACTAAAACACTAAAAAATAATCTTCACTGTGCATCATCGAGCCCGGACCATTTTGCTGTCGTGTGACCATAAAATCAATTCAAATTAGGGGTTTAATAATAGGAGTGTCCCAGATTTGAATAACATAGAGTACCACTTACATTTTTTAATCATACGCAAACTACTATCGAGGGTATGATAATCGTTTATTAAAATTTTTGGGTATCCCAGATAACCAATTATATTTTGTTTATCCGTACGAAACTACTATCGGGGGTTGGATAATCATGTTTTCAAAATTTAGGGGACACCCCTAAAGTACCATGTATCCGCCACTCTGCCGACATGAACCAAATTAAAAAAAAATGACTGTTGGTCAACAGATGTTGAATTAACGAAGAGAGGGCCAAATATGAACAGCTCTTTAATACCTTAACGGTATGGACAATTTCATGATTTCTTCCCTGAAAATGATCAATTTGAAGTTGGAGGCAAAACTGATTTTGGCAGTAGCGAGAGCAAGGTAGCTCAACCAGAAATCTGTTACTCGAGCATGTAGCCATGGTGTCAGGAACTGGCAGGAAAGAATCGATTGAAGGCGTGATAAGATCACTCTCCTTAGAGTGTTATTTGCCCCCACTACAAATTGCTGGTAGGCTCGAGCAAACCATGCACCCCCAAGAGTCCCTTCAATTTTAAGTCTGGAAGCAGCAATCTTGCAGACTTCTAGGTTATGAAATAGAGAAGGAAACGGGAATAAGAAGTAATCTCTCGTCATCAAAAGAGTTATGACAATCATCTATTTATAGTTGTGAAAACTAGAAGTTATCTCCCGAAGAGACACATCCTTTCACAGAAAAATGTAGTTACCTCTCCCGAAAAGACACATCCTTTCATAGAAAAGGGAAGTTACCTTTCTAGAAAGACACTTCTTTTCCCTTGTATTATCGATGTGATACTTGGATTGTCCCATAACACTTTCAATTCTGTATTATCAAAATTCTACACTCTAACTATGTTGTCTAGCTAGTGGAGGTTCTGGAGATCAATTGTCTGTCATCATCTACTACTATTACTCTGTTATCGTAAACTGGTATCACCCCACAATTCTCTACCATGAATGGTCCTTTAACAACACCAAAACGGTCTCTGCGCGTGGCACGAAAGACGAATTTAATGGTAGCGTCATTCATAATTGAGATCTCCTTACCTTCAGAAGAAGAATCCAGAGGTACTAAAACCTCCCTCATCCAGCTAAGCTCAGAATCATACCATATTAACAGGTTACTTCCCTGGTCATCTAAACCGTGGTCTTCCGGATACATTGAAACCCCCCGGCAATAACTCGCAGCTATAACATCCCCACCGCCAGTGTTGGACATGGTTTGAAGTGCGGTGCAGCAATACGCTTCCAACTTTGTCAAGGATGAAGGAAGCTCCGGTAAGTGACTGAGTTGACTGCAACCAGACAAGTCGAGCGTAACCAATTTGGATAGCCTGTGAATGGTGGCTGGTAGTTCTCGGATTGCTGTACCAGGCAGAGTAAGAAATTCCAAATTAAATGTCCTAGATTACAAATGCTATCTGGAAGTCGTGATAGACTGGTGCACCCACCTAGAATTAATAGTGTTAAAGCTTCCATGGGTACCAAGATTTTTGGAAGTTCCTTCAACGTGATGCAATTAGATAAACAGATCTCCTCAAGAGCTTTCGACTGAAAAATTACATCTCGAAAATGAACAAGCTCTTGATCATTGGCCGAAATTTCGTTGCACCCCTTTAACTTCCTCAGCTCCTCCAACTTCTGGTTTTGAATTGATGTCCCACTTAGGTTCAATCTTTTTAGTTCCGGGAAAATGGCAGCCATATTGTCGTCCTTGTTGACATCTGTGTAATATCCCACTGCATTCAACTCCAAGCTGGTACACTTCTCTAAATTAAGGACTTCAAGTTTGGGTAGATGCACAATCGACCAACTAAGCTCCACCAAGCGGAAACAGAAACGAAGATTGATTTCTTCCAGTCTTTTCGCTGTAGAGAGATCAGGCAACTTCTTCAAGTATTTAGATCTGCTTAGATCAAGGAACTTCAAATTTCTCAAGTCCTGCATGTAGATAAGATAGACGTAAAAGCTGAAAAGCAAACAAAACTATAAAAAAAGGAGATATCTCACACTCAAACACAAAAAAGTTATACATACCATATTCCGTGTGTCGTCCCAAAGTTTTCTCACTTTGCTTGAAGGCAAAGACAATGATGTAAGATTCTCCGGACAAAATTCATGTGGTAAACATCTCATTGGAAATGCGTCCCATGTAAGAATTATCAATGAATTTGGTAGACATCTCAAACCGTCCTTGGGGAGAACAAATTTTGTCTCAGATTTACGTATCACAAGGTATCGAAGATTTTCCAACTTCACAAAAGCATCAGATTGCATGTGTATTGCCTCTGTCCTTAACTCACCACTGGATTTATCCCAACTAATGCCTCGAGTGACTTTACTGCCCTATTTAGTGGAAGAAACAACAAGGAAAAAATTACTTAATAACAAAGCACAAAAAGGAACAGAGGTTATGACGGTTATAGTGTTTACTATGTCCACATACCTTGCCTTGTTTAAAAAAACTATATACGTCTTGAGCTTCAAACAGCCATGAACGTCTATCAAGTCGGAAGTTTTCATTGACAATTCTACGACCCAAATCACTCAGCAGCCCATGCATTTTTACGATACGATGATCAGGAAAGACGAAGACAGTTGTTAACATAGACTTGTCAATAAAGTTAATTATAAGGTTTTCACTCCCACCATGTTCAACATAGTTTCCATCCAATAGTTTTTTCAACTCGTTGTCATTGAATTGGCATCGACCATAAAGACATGCAATATCAATGAATACATTTCTCTCTACTCGGCCGAGTCCTTCATAACTCCTCCGGAAGACTCTTTCTATCGCTTGATTTGGGTGACGCTCCAACGCTTTCAATTCGATACCCCAAAAATTTTGGTCCCTGTCATACAAATGTGAACCTAAAATAGTAAGAGCTAAGGGGTTACCCTGTGCATAAGTGATAGCTCTCTTGGACCACTCCACATACTCGATTGGAGGATGATGCTCTTTGAATGCACGGAGGCAGAATAGCCGAAGAGCTTCATTGTCACCAAGAGCCACCACTTCATGAACATGATGACACACATTCTTAAGAACTTGCTGGTTCCTACTTGTCAAAATGATTATACTTCCCGATGCAAATAAATCACAATATCGTCCTTTAAACAATTCGTTCAAGTGTCTCATGTTTCCAATATCATCACCCACATCATCAATGACAACCAAAACCCTCGTACGACCAAGCCGATGTTCTTTCAAATCCTGAGATATTCTCCATGCATTCTCATCACCCAACAATGCAGAGAACAAATCATTTTGCAAGTCATCACGCAACTGTGATGAACCACTTAACTTATCCGAGAAGTTACTCAAGAAATACGAAGCTTCGAATTGACTTGAGAACTTATCGTAGAAGGCCTTTGCAAGAGTCGTCTTCCCGATGCCACCCGGCCCCCACACTCCTATAGTCAAATTTTTACCCCCACTAGTTGCCCAGTGTTCAATCTTATTAATCCTTCTCTCTAATCCCACCAAACCAACAATCGAATTTGAAACTGGTACCATTTGACCGGATAGAGCTTGTAACACAGCTTTACAAATTTCCCCAATCAGGATTGATTCAGGTCTGAGAAAAGAAATAGCTATTTAGCAAAACGAAACAAGTAGTTCTATATCTATCGAATTGGAAAGATTAATACCTTATTTTGGCCCGAACTATACACATACTTTCTACTTTGGCCCGTGGTATTGAAAATTGCTACTATGGTCTGAACTATGTAGCAAACTTCCTCATTTGGCTGGAGGCGGACGGTCAAACTTGTTGACCGTTAGTCAATGTACACCTCACCTGCCACGTCAGCTTTGAGGACATAAAAAATTAATTTTTTCTCTGAATATTTTTTTTCTTTCGATTAATAAAATCAATAAATCTTATTACCAAAAAAATTTAATAAATCTAAAAAATTAATTAAAAGAACGAAAAAAATGAAAAAACCCCAAATTATCCGAGCCCCCCACTTCCCTTATCCTCCCGCATTGCCTTTATCGTGAAATAATTTTCTCCCCCTTTCAGACCCATCGTCTTCCCCGACTCCTTCTTCTACCTTCCCCTTAGATTCACCACCTCCGTCGTCATCGCTCAAGTCCTCGATAGTCAGGACCAGCCACCGTCGTCGTCCTCCCACCGGCCCGCTCGTCGTCCATATAAGAGGTTAAAAGGCTTAACTATCGCTTTCCCAATAACTCGAGTTATTGGGGCCAAGTGGTTAGTTCGCTAACATGGTATCAGAGCCTAGAACCGAAAGGTCATGGTTTCGAATTCTCATAACGACCCCCATTTCATGCCAATTCGTTTAGCACAAGGAATGGTATGTCCAACCTGTGCAAACTAAAGCCTCGTGATTTGGCAGCACAAGGGTTCAACCTGTGCAAACCGTAAAAATCCACAATTCGGAATCGGCTTTCGTTTGAGGGGGCGTATAAAAGGTTAAAAGGCTTAACTATCGCTTTCCCAATAACTCGAGTTATTGGGGCCAAGTGGTTAGTTCGCTAACAGTCCACTGCATCCATCGCTTCTACGACTCCGTCAACTTCCCTGCCGGCGTCGTCTCCAGCAGATCTGACTGGCATGCGCTATCCTCTCCAACAAAGTCGTTGGACAGGAGCAGCCTCCTGAAAGTAGATCTGGAGGAGAAAATGGACTTGTTGTTGTTGATTCCATCGCTTCCGTCAACGGTCACAAGACAATTGACCTGGATTTGGTCCCAATCGTTAAGGCTGCTCTGGATTTTGTCGAAATGTGAGGCGATTCCGTGCGACCAGTTCGAGGTCGCTTTCCAGGCGGTGGAGCTCTGGATCGCGGATCGAGCCGTTCTGCCGGTGGAGAACTCGCTGGGCGGATCGATTCACAGGAACTACGACTTGCTCCTCCGTCACCACCTTCATATTTGTTGGGGAGGTCCAGCTGCCGGTCCACCACTACCTGATGGCGCTGCCAGCGGTGGAGAAGAATGAAGGTGAATCAATTACGCGGTCAAGTGCAGAAGTTGAAGGACTCAAATTCAAGTCTTCAAGAGAAAATTAAAGAATTGAAGGTGAAGCCTTCCTTCTACACTATCTCCACTTTTCGTCAGCTGATAAGTGCAAAACGAGTGATGATATATATATTGGTTGACTAAATCAAAGCTCCCCATTTTTCATGCGTAGGTGGAGAAGAATGAGCTTGGTGATGAGAAGCAGCGTCTCAAAGCAGAGAAAGAGAAGCTGGAACAGCAAATGAAAACCATGAACAGCAAAAGAGAAGCCACACGCTCACGAAGCTGGGGCTGCAGGCGGCGCGGCGAACAATTTTAGATTTTTTTTATACGATTTATTGATTTTATTAATCAAAAGAAAACAAAATTCAGTAAAAATTTAATTTTTTATGTCCTCAAAACTGACGTGGCAGGTGAGGTGTACATTGACTAACATTCAATAGGTTTGACCGTCTAATTTGACGGTCAAACCCGCCTTCAGGCCAAATGAGGAAGTTTGCTACATAGTTCAGGCCATAGTAACAATTTTCAATACCACATGCCAAAATAGAGAGTATGTGTATAGTTCGGACCAAACTTAAAAAATATTATTAACCCAATTGGAAACTACGCTATGAAAGAAACTGACAGAAAAATTACGCAAAGTGTACCTGGTAACTCGTGAATCGAAGCCCGAAATGCCAGCTGCCTTAGTCAACGCAGCTCTCCAACTCCGAATTTTGTCAACCGCCTCCCCCTTGGGGAGTATCCGGTAGCTTCCAGTTTGATTTTCGACATAAGAAGGGTCCAAGCCGCCGTAGAACACCGGAACTACCCGCCGCCCATACCGATCACTGCACTCGAGGATCCTCACGAGCTCGTCCAAACACCACGGTGAACCAGCGTAATTGGGGGAGAAAATCACGATGTAGCACGCCGATCTCTCGATCGCCTCCAACAGCGACGGCGAGATCTCCTCTCCTCTTTCGAGATCTGAATCGTCTTTGTAGACAGCGAATTTCTTCTGGTGTGTGAGGAACGAGTTGAGGTGGCTCAGGAAATTGTCGCGAACGTCAATTCCTCTGAAGCTGATGAAGACGTCGTGTTTCGGAGGCAGAACAATCGACGAAGAAGGAGAAGGAGGAACTATATCCCGCGACGGCGACGGCGGGTAGAACAGATGGGAGCGGGTGAATCTAGGGAGGAAGCGCTGGAAAAACCTGGAGGGTTGAAGAAGAGTAGTAGCACGGGTGATAATTTCACTAAATAGTGTTCGCTGCCGCTTGGCAGGTCGGCTTTCATCGCCGTCTTCGTCGCGATCGTGTCCCCCGCCGTCGATCTTCATTTTCAGGTCGTTTGCCGGGAAGTAAAATGTGAAAGAAAAAGTCAACCAAGAAGCAGTGTAGTAGATAAGGGCTTTTGGACGAAGAAGACGTTTGGTTTAAAGTTTTAAAGTAGTGGATGGAGCAAGACTGCAAGAGCCAAGTGCTGCGATATTTATTTGTTAATCACAATTCACATCATCGATGACAGACCATGAAAATTACATCTTCCAATGAAACCTTGTGCTGCGGGTTATCTGTACCAATAATTCACAATTAGATTTCTATAATTATTGAAAGTTGACACGACTTGCTATTCCAGCTTTGTATATATCTACAAGGAAATGTCGAGCCCACAAAATAGGCCCAGTTGAAGGATGATCTTCGCATCCGTGTATATGTGTCTTTTTTTTCCTGAATGATATAAAAAGAATGCCTAAAGTACACGTTTGGTCACTCAAAGTACACAAATTTTGCACATTTGCCACTCGAATTACTTTTTTTCTTATTTGTCATTAACTTTATGAATCATTTCACCGTTAGTCACCGACCGTTACACTCCGTTAAATTTGTCCTATGTGGCAGTCAACTATAAAGTTTGACCGTTAACTAAATGACGTGAAAATTAAAAAAAATAAAAAATTTAATTTATTTGTGCACCTCATCATTCCAATTGCTTTGTATATGATATATCATATTACTTATTTAATTAAATTAAAAACAAATAATATGATTAATTTATTCTCCACCTCTGTGACGGAAAAATGAGAAGGAAAAAAAATAACATCAAAAGTTTCTTCTCGGTGGCCGTTCATCGATTCACCATTTCATCGGCTTTCGCACAAATACCTGTGTTGATCAAATCAAGCTACAGAAATGATCGTGATCAGATTCGGACTGGACGAGGGAGAAGGTGAAGTGATCAGGGAATCAGATGATGATTATGGAGGCAAAAGGATGATCAGAAATTTGATCAGGGAGGGGAAACAATGGAGGCAGAGAGCTAAGTAAGAGAAGGGGGAAGTGAAGAAGGAGAGAGGGAATCGAACCGACAATTACAACTAATACAACCGCACGGCAGCGATCCAAAAACGAGGTTTATAAATGGGGGAAGGAAACCCTAACGCGCCCTTGTGTTTTGTTGAATTACCAGAACGCCCTTGTGGGATGAGGAAACTGAAACTCCTTTTGAGTTTTGACCTACAAAAAAGGTACCCATCATCCTGCCAGACCTAGGTCATTCAGATTCAGGTTTTGGCCGATTTGGCAAAAATATTTGATTTTGGTGTTCAAAAAATTTGAATTCATCAATTCAAGATGTGAAGTCAAGTGTCTTATATGATCGTGCTGAGGGAAGTCTGATAGGCGCGGGAATCAGCGTTGATCGTATTTGAATCAATTGTGATTGATCTCTATTTTGATTATTATGAACAAGGATGTGAACTGGTTGTGTAGATTCATGAATCTTGATAAACCTCTGCTGATCTGGGGGAATCCCTTCCTTGTCCTGGATCTTTACCTTGACATTGTCAATGGTGTCGGAGCTCTCAACCTCGAGAGTGATGGTCTTCCCAGTCAATGTCTTAACAAAGATCTGCATACCACCTCTCAAACGGAGCACAAGATGGAGGGTGGACTCTTTCTGGATGTTGTAGTCGGCCAATGTCCTTCCATCCTCAAGCTGCTTGCCAGCAAATATGATCCTCTGCTGATCTGGAGGGATCCCTTCCTTATCCTGGATCTTAGCCTTGACATTGTCGATTGTGTCACTGCTCTCTACTTCAAGAGTAATGGTTTTGCCAGTCAACGTCTTCACAAAGATCTGCATGCCACCTCTAAGACGGAGAACCAGGTGGAGGGTGGACTCCTTTTGGATATTGTAATCGGCCAAAGTCCTGCCGTCCTCCAACTGCTTGCCAGCAAAGATCAACCTCTGCTGATCTAAAGATCAACCTCTGCTGATCTGGTGGGATCCCCTCTTTGTCCTGGATCTTCGCCTTGACGTTATCAATGGTATCGGAGCTCTCAACTTCCAAAGTTATGGTCTTTCCTGTCAAGGTCTTGACGAAGATCTGCATGCCTCCACGAAGACGGAGAACCAGGTGAAGGGTCGACTCCTTCTGGATGTTGTAGTCGGCCAAGGTCCTGCCGTCTTCCAGCTGCTTGCCGGCGAAAATCAACCTCTGCTGATCCGGGGGAATACCCTCCTTATCTTGGATCTTAGCCTTGACGTTGTCGATGGTGTCGCTGCTCTCGACCTCGAGAGTGATAGTCTTGCCGGTGAGAGTCTTAACGAATATTTGCATCTGTAAATATCAGAACGACGAGAAAACCCTAATTCAATAACCGGATAGAAATTTCCAGGATCCAAAAAACCCTATCTCAATACCAGATTTCAGGCTCTAAACGGCATCAGATCGTCACAACAATCTAATCGAAGGAAAGAAGGAACCCTAATTACTAAATTCCAACGTTTTTTCAACACGAACAAAACTAGAACTGGACGATCAAGAACAGAGACGATAGGGGAACGGATTCGGGTGTTACCTTGAGAAACTGGGAAGAAAGCTCTGAATCGGAGATTTGATTATGGAGAGATTTGAGGAATGAATTGTGGATCGGTGATGGAGAAACGAGAGAATTGGGGCTCGATTTATAGAAGATGAAATTGGCCGACCTAGATGTGGAGAAACCAATAAAAGAAAAAGGCGAACACGAAAAGGGTAAGGAATGACGTGTGTGTTGTATTGGCGTTTCTTTCGCCCTGGTGGCCTAGTTGACACGGAACGGGTTTGATTGCCGTCCGTTCCGTTCTAGAATTGTCTATACTTTTTTTTTTCCAAAAAAAATTGTCTATTCTTTCTAGTGTCTCGAAATAAATCACTATTTTGTTTTACAATTCTCATTAGAAAAAAAAAATTTTAATACACATGTATATCCAAAACTTTCATGGTTGTGCCAATAATATCTAAATTTTCCAAAATACCACTTATACCTATAGGTGTCAATCAGGCGGGTTCGGGCGGGTTCGGGTCGGTTCAGTCGGGTCGCGGGTTAATCGGGTTGCGGGTCAAACGGGTTGCGGGTCAAGCGGGTTCGGGTTGATCGGGTTGCAGGTTGATCGGGTTGCGGGTTGATCGGGTTGCGGGTTGATCGGGTTGCAGGTTGATCGGGTTGCGGATCAGTCGGGTTACGGGTTGATCGGGTTGCGGATCAATCGGGTTCGGATTGATCGGATTGCGGGTTACAACAGGTCGGGTTGCGGGTTGTTAGGTCCACACCATCGAGTTTTTTTATAATTAGTTATTACACTATTTTTTTTTGAGAGAGTTATTACACTAATTTAAAACAAACTCACCGATCACCATATTGCAATGAATAAAACATGAATGTACATTATTAAACAAATGAATGACTAGATTCGTGACGTGCTAGGCACAACCCATTAAATTTCGTGTCGTGCCATACAAGCCCATTTAACAGTTTTATTAGGCCCGGGCCCAAGCACGAGTCAAGTCGTGCCGTGCCTGATCATGTTTATGTTGTGCTTTTATTTTGTTCACATTCGTGCTTATTCGTGCTTTCTAGTGTAATTTAACTTTCATTCTTATTTTATATGGTAACACACGCTTTTAATATTCCTTACTCAACTTCATCTACAAATTATTAACTTCATGTAACTTTAATTAAATACTAATATCTAGCACTGCATTTTCGCGTAGCTAATTATAAACCGCTAGTCATATATCCACTATACATATATTAACATGCAAATTGAAAACACGAACTCTTTGTAACATGAGATTCTAACATTAATATGAATAACTGATACAAATATCATTTATGGATCAGTGGTAAATAACATACAATTAAAAAAAACTCATTGTTGTATGATGAAACTCAACCTAATGAGAACCAATTACAGATCTATGAGATAACATTTTCTTGCTCTGTAACTATAGTTTCCAGGTCTGCCTTTTCTTCATCGATTCCATAATTTTGCTTTCAATTGTCCGCTCAAAGCATTTAAGACCTTCAAGCCTTTCCCACCCTAGAAACATAATTCAAAGGAGTTCAAAGTTACTACTCTCTCTAGCAAACTCAACTGCTGAAGCAATCAGAAATAAATAAACCATATACAAAGCACTACGAACACTTGTCCAGTCCCAAGAAGTCATGACAAAACAGAGTAGAAGCACATCATAATAGCTCATCTAAAAACAACTTCATAGAAGCTCACAGCCCTCAAACTTCATCCTCACCAGTTACAACTATCCAAACCAAGCAATAAATGTATGGCGTCAGTGATTCCTGCAATTTCTTGTACAACCACCTACCTACCTTATATAATTAATCAACTGCAATTTCTTGTACATCATAATAGCTCATCTAAAAACAACTTCATAGAAGCTCACAGAAGCTTACAGAAGCTACTGCTAACATGACATCCACCTGATCAAAATTGTACACAACCTTTTTAATGATACATGACAAGAAATCTTCATGATAATTTCAGAAGGTTTGTACAAATTGTGAAGCCATTACCATTAGGCACTTTAGCATTATTGCTTCAGTGATGATTTCACAGTATGGAAGGTAAGGTTTGATGCCCAAACACATACCAGACCCTTTCCTGTTATCTCTTTTTCTGCCTTTCGTCCTCTCAAATAAGCTCAAAGATTAATGAAGCCTATTGCAGATTTGCCAACAAGCAAGTATAGAAGTACAAACCATCTGAAGATCAGCATAATGGAGAACATCAAATATTAATGACATACAGTTTAAAGAGGCATCCTTGCAATTCCAGCAGAATAAAATTTATAAAGAGTATCGTACAAGGACATGAGCAATCAAATGTTACCTTGAATTCAGTGGGTGGTAGCTATTGCTTGCATCTGCCAGTCAAAATAAATGCTTTGGTTAAGCAAATGGCCTCTTTTCATCCTCTAAATCCAGAAAATCAAGAAATCAACACCAGCCTTCTTCGATTTGGGGAAGCGCAGGTGAACCAGCAGGCAGAGGTTAAGGAAAAATCCCCAGATCAAGCGCTGGGAAGACAAATCGAGTGGTGGATCTTCTCCTGTTGCTCTGCAGCTCAGAGAAAGACAGATCGAGCGGCTGATCTTCTTCGGTTGTTCTCCAAGGTGGCGAGCGATTCCTGGAGATTGAAGGCGGTGGCGATTGCTTGCGGCTACTCGACGAAGAGGAGATCTCGATGGCGGAAGGGGAAGCACCGGAGAGGAGGAGAGAGGGCAGGGGAACCATCAGATATGACGAGAGGGTTGCTGGGTTTGTTCGTCGTAGAGGAGAAGAGGGTTTCTGGGTTTGTGTTTGTTCGTTGGAGAAGAGAGAGGGCAGGGAAGGGGGAGAGATGAGCACATGGGAGGAGGATCGTGATATGTTGGGTCTGGAAAAAATAGTAAAGATTAAATAATAAAGGAAATTTGGCCACTAAAATTTTGGGCGGGTATGGAAATTTGGCGGTGAATTTTTTGGGCGGGTATGGTTGAGGTGAATTTTTTGGGCGGGTATGGAAATTTGGCCACTAAAATTTTGGCGGTCATTTAAAACACTAATAAAATTTGGGCGGTAAGTGGAATTGTGTCGGTTCATAACAAAATCGACCCAAACCAACAAGAGTTGTGTCGGTTACAAGTAAAACCGACTCAAATATGCTGAAAATTGTGTCGGTTTAATTTTAACCGACACAAAATTGGAGAAAATAGTGTCGGTTAAGTAACCGACACAAATCTTCTACACAAAATAGAATTTTAGTGTCGGTTAAGTGAACCGACTCAACTCAACCGACACTAAACCTCTGTTTTCTTGTAGTGCACAAAGCATAACCATGAAGAAACCCTAACCCTAAACCCTAAACCCTAACCCTATAACACCATTTTAAATCTGAAACCTAAAACTAACCTTAACCATCAACCATACATTATCCTAAATCACAACATTAAGTAATTAACCGTAAAACTAACCTCAACCCTTAACCATAATTCCATAACCCAAACATGCAAACAATGAACTCTAAACCATGACCCTATACGGCTATACCTTATACTATAGTTATATGTTATGAAATTGTTGGAATAAGCTACAACGTATGTTATGTGAAGAATGTAAGTTGAGTCAATTTTATATTCGGTTATTGAGAAGAACATATGTCCTATGACTCCAAACTCTAAACCACGAGTCCTCTACCGTATACCCTATGCACTAACCTTAAACCATGAACTATAGTTATGTAGTATGAAATTGTTGGTTATTGAGAAGAACATATGTCCTACGACTCCAAACGTTTAATATCCGTATTTAATGAAATGAATTATTAACTTTACTATTTTTACATATTGATTTATTTGTAAAAGTAATTAGTTTTATATATTTATAACTATTAACGTACTATTAAACGTAACATTACCTAAGAGACGAAGTATAATACCCGTAAGTATTTTATACGTAACTTTCTCGTACCATATTTTACAAACTATGCTATACATTAAGTGGATTTTATGTATTATTAAATTTACTATTTTTACATATTGATTTATTTATAAAAGTAATTAGTTTTATATATTTATTACTATTAACGTACTATTAAACGTAGCATTACCTAAGAGACGAAGTATAATACCCATAAGTATTTTATACGTAACTTTCTCGTACCATATTTTACTAACTATGTTATATATTAAGTGAAGTTTATGTATAAGTTGACATACAAAAACATTAAAGGAATTTTATGTATAAGTTGACATACAAAAACATGTTAAAAAAATATGTCTCTACTGGGCGAACCGTTTCCCTCGGATGGGAAAGACCAGCACATAAGCCAGCTAGTTCACGTAATTGATTTGTTACAATTTGAACTTGTTGTTTATTTGATTCAACTAAAAGGCAGAGAGACCATAAAGTATTATGTGATTCAATTTACCGAGACAGTGAGACTATTATGTGATTCAATATAATGACAGTTGTCATTTGTCAACACAAAGTAAACCTTTGTTCTGGGTGGGAAAGATGAAAAAATAATAGGGCAAGTCAAGTAAACTTTATATATATTATTTACATATAATATTTATGCACAAAAACATATTATGTAGTATTATTCGTGCCAATCGGGCGGGTTCGGGTTGGGTTAATCGGGTTCGGGTTAGTCGGGTTACGGGCCAAGCGGGTTACGGGTCAAGCGGGTTGCGGGTCAAGCGGGTTGCGGGTCAATCGGGTTCGGGTCAAGCGGGTTGCGAGTCAAGCGGGTTGCGGGTTATGCGGGTTGCGGGTCAAGCGGATTGCGGGTCGGGCGGGTTGCGGGTCTTTGACTTTTAGTCCAATCGGGTTGCGGGCGGGTTGCGGATCGGGTTGGTTGGGCGGGTTACTCGGGTCGGGTCATGTTTTGACACCTATATATGTTTTAAAATTGTACTTTTCCAAATCTATCAATTTTCTAATATATTTTTGGTTAAATACACTTGTATATCCAAAAACACCGTTAAAGAATGTGAAGGAATTGGATATAAGTGGTATTTCGAGAAATTTGGATATTATTGGCACAACCGTGAAAGTTTTGGATATACAAGTGTATTTAACTGGGAAAAAATAACTGAACCGAAAATCAATGGTTAGACCAGTAAAATCATCAAACTGGATACAATAGTGGTTCCGCTTTTTGATTGGATGATTAGATATGAACCGAATGATTTTTCCCAGTTTGACATGGAACTAGATGAATCACTTTGATTTTACTGGTGTTAATCGATAAAAAATTAACTTGTACCACATTGTTTTAATAAAATAAATATTCAATGAGCTAGTTGGACCTTATTAGGTTGGTTTTTTAGACTAAATGGTCGAGCCGCTATCCCTGGGCTAGTGGTTGGCCACCTCCTATAGCCCGGACGATGCATCCACCGCCTCCAAGACATCAAAAGGGTACCAAGCCTGCAAGACAGGTATGGTATCGGAATATGAAAATTGGCTAAGTATAGAGTCAATAGGGTACCAAGCTGACAAGACAAGCTTGGTACCAAGGCGATAGGGTACCAAGGTGGCAAGGCATGCCTGGTACCACGACATGAAAATTGGGAAAGTATGGAGCCAACAAGGCAGGCTTGGTACCAAGATATGAAATTTGGTGAAGTTTGGAAACAAAACAGACTTGGTACCCAGGCAACAGGGTACTAAGTTGGATACCAACTAGAGAGTCGTACAAAAACTACGTATGGATACCAAGTCAGCAAGGCAGACTTGGTAGGCAATTAAGAAGGTACCAAGCCGGCAAGACAGGCTTGGTATCCAGGCAACAAGGTACCCGGCCATCAAGATAGACTTTTTATTAAGTTATCAAACCTTCCAAAAGCTAAGTATAGAGATCAAACTGGCAGGGTGCCAACCCGATGAGGAGGTTACAAGGTGGCCAGCTGAGGTGGCCACCGGCTGGGTACTAGGGCGCCATGGACCATCCTCATAGCCTCAAGACTAAGTATGAAATCTTAGGGGGTGGGGTTGGTCGGCCAGGATGTTGAGCTAAGAGGTTGTCAACTTGATGAGGGCCAGGATGTTGAGCTAAGAGGTTGTCAACTTGATGAGGACTTGGTGACGGTGTAGAGCCCTAAGGGGACCATATGGAAACTAAGTCTCAATACGGACTTGGTGGCCTCTAGCGGGGTACCAAGCCGACAGGGCGGTAAGGTACAAACTTGATGAGATTTCAAAAACCAAGTATGAAGACCAAGTCGTCAGGGTTGGCTTGGTAGCATAGACCGACATGACTGGCTTGGTAGCACAGGGGTATCAAGCCCGAGAGGTCAAGACTTCGTCATGGAGCAAGGTAAAGAGCTCCAACCTCATCTAGTCAAGACAAGGCAACAAGACTCAACACCAACATTACCTGGTTTTGAGGCCATCAAGTACCAACCAGTCGAACAAGGCGGGGCAAGAGGCCCAAGGTGATAGGAGTCAACACCAAGGCGACAGTTACCCGTTGGTCTCCAAGGCGGCAACAAGGGGTTCCTAAGCCGGTTGGAGCAACAAGCCAGCTAGCAGTTACCAAGGCAGTTACACCTAGTGGCTATAAATAGGAGAAACTAAAATCGTAAAAGGGTTCCACAACCAAACATTTGACACATTATGTCAAACCTTATCCTTTCTCTACAATGTAGCATAGGCGTAGCTTTTAGTTTCTGGAGCTCTCACTAAACCTCCATAAGCGTAGGAGAAATTTAATTTGGTTTTCTCAGCCATAAAAAAAAATCAAACGCCCTCGTTCGAACATTGTTCGGAGTGGAGTGAATCGTGTTAATCGTTGTTCAAGAAGTCAAAGGTGTAAATCATTGAATTCAAACACAATATTTTCCTCGAGGGAAAACAACTGATCCACTAGTTTACTATTGTAACCATAAAACTTCAAGAAAAAAAAAAAACTTTAACATAAACTAAAATCATCCAACCTCAATAACTAATGCCCACTAGGGGTGGGAAACATTACGGTCCAGACCACGTTTCTGCGGTGCGGTCCGATACGCTGTGGACCAGGCATACCATGTTAAAAAATTCTCTCTTATTCCTCCCTCCAACCCTTCTTATAAAAATAAAATTTTTAGTGACCAATATGCTAGTGAGACAAAAATTTAGTGATCATAATTAAAATGAGAATAATTATATGAGGAGAGCAGTGGGTTTTTTCAATTGTCAAACTCATTACACAAAAAAAAAAATCAAAATCTCTCTAGTGTACACGACTCTATCCAGTATCCATTAAAAAAACACACACCAAATAGCATTGTTTCACTCTTCCTCTATGTGCTACTTCTTCTCTCCCTCTCTCGGGTGATCCGAAGGTTCTCGCAGTCGATCACTTTCGTGATGACGCCAAGGTCGTTTGAAGCATTAAGATGGTCGTTTATCTCTCAATAATTTTCTTTATCTCATTAATGTGAATGAATTTTTTCTAGTGTATATGTTTTATTGACTCCATAGTCTAGACATTGTCGGTGAATATTATTTATGAATCTTTCTGGGTTTTGTGTGGTTCTTTGATAAGGAGATAACGTATAAGCGATCATTGGGCAATCTGTTGGCTAACAACTAGATGAAGAATCAACTAACTTTGTTCTTGAAATACAAAAATATAGGTTTAATTTATTGTTATTCTCATTGAGTTAGTAGGTAGTGTGTCGCAGTCTGTTACGGTTTACTGCAATAGACCGTGATCCAGACCACTTCAAACCACGCACTATAGAAAGAGACCACAAACCAGACCAGATCAGACCAAACCATACGATACGATCTAAACCGCGATTCCCATATGATTTAGTCTACATTCCCAACCCTAATGCCCACCCCTATAAAATACCTAATATGGATTCAAATTCAGATGCTACTACCATACAACCAAGACTTCATGTTGTCCAAAACCAATTCATCCTTCATTTTGCTTGTTTCATTTCTACTTCCCCGAACCGGGCCTTCTGTAGATTGATATGAACTAAAAGATCAAGCCCAGCCCAAGAATCAAAACGATCTCTTCCCTTCCACTTGCTTGAGTTGGTGCAGTCGCAGCGCAGGGGAAGGTTCGGGTTGGGAAGTTGGCAGGTGTTTAGATCGGAGCGAGGGTCGGAGATTGGTACAGTTGTTCTCTGCGCCCGCGAAAAGCTCAGCTACGGGCTACGGCTTCACAAATCTCAGGTCTGGACCTCCCACTCTCTCTCCTCTCCTCTCCACCCGCCTTTGCATTTCTCCAATCGATTCGATTCAAATCCAAACTCCCTCCAGTCCTCGTACTTTCATCGCCTTCATTTCCTCAGTCCAACATGGCCACCGGCGAAGTAACTCTAATCCCTCCGCGCCTCTCTCCTCCTCTTTCTGCATATAGGTTTACCGGAAGAAGGCGACGAGATGCGCCATGGTTGATCTGTTTCCCGATTTCTGAATAGCATTGATGTCGGAAGAAATGGGGAGTAGGGTTCCAGTTCAGCACTATGACTTGAGATCGCCTCCTACTGCCAGTTCATTCATCGGCAGCTCTCTTCACGACCTCAACACCGTCGATTCTCGACCGCCGGCTAGTGTAGAAGGCATAGCCGAAGCCGATCCCCACCCTTCTTCCTCTGATACTGGCCTCAACGGCGACCACGACTCTCCTGACCCTGCTGTTGTACGTCCTCCTCTCCCTTTGTTTCAATCCTCTGTTCTTGTTGTTGGTAGCTTGGTTTTTACTTTCACTCTCTCCTTTGCCAACTCGGAGCTTCTCTGTTTCTGCTGTTATGTTAGGACTGCATCCATGAGTCTTACAGAAACTCTTTGCCACTTCATGGTGTCGGGGTTGAAGAGGACCGCTCTAGCGTCGAGAATAGTGGGTCTTCAAGGGTTCCATACAATTTGATAAACATCGAAGGTATGCATTTTTAGTAGACGGACGATGTTGATTCACTGTATGTATTTGGGTTCACTGAACGCATTTTTGTCGGGGTGGCTTCTCTATGCAGATGTTACACCTATTGAATCTGCAAGGGCTAGACTTTTGCAAATTGTTGTGGATTACTTCATTAGCGATCACTTGATTGAGGCGACGGATAATGGCAGTAGTGAGTATTCTGGTCATCCTGGACAAGATAGTTTGAGCAAAAGGAAGTCTGGAGATGTTAGATATGAAGGGGATCCGAGGTTTGCTTTGCCCTTGATGTACGTCGCCAATTTGTATGAGACGCTAGTGAATGATGTAAATATTAGGCTGGCTTCCTTGAATTCTATTCGTGATAAGACCATTGGGATAGCTCTTGAAGCAGCCGGTGGTTTGTACAGAAAATTGGCCAAAAAATTCCCCAAAAAAGGTACGGATGTTTCTGCTTTTGTGGTCACCAGTGGATTGCATAACTGAACTAGTTGTCTCCATGAGAATTGCTTGGCACTCATTTTTGTTTCAAATATGAAAACTGTTTGATCTTGTGTGATTTGTTGAGTTAGATAAAATAAAATTATATGCGTAGGTGTATTACATTGAGGTCTTTCAACTACTTTGTGTTTTTCTTCCCTGTTTTGTCTAGGTTCTTGTATGTTTAAAAGAAGAGAACTGGCAACTTCTGTGGAGACAAGGACGAGATTTCCTGAGTTGGTGATCCAAGAAGAGAAAAGAGTGCGTTTTGTGGTGGTCAATGGTTTGGACATCATTGAGAAGCCGACGAATCTTCCTAGAGAAGATGCAGAGTGGTAAGCGAGGACAATTAATTCTGAAATTTTGTTTCGTTTGAACTATTGTTGGATAGAACAAAGGAAGCACGTAAGATTATCATGGAAAGAAATGCAGCTGAAGCAGACAATAGTATGATGCAATTGGCAGTTTTCTTTTTTGGAAATAAGAATAGCAAGATCAATAATCTGCATCCTTTTTGGAACCATTTAGCTTCCTGGTACAACTTATTTATTGGAATAGAATAGTGAAACACACAGCATTGCTCTTTTGAGACATGCAATCTTTTTGCAAATGGTCAAGTGACCAGCTCTTATACCCTCTCTTTCTTGTTGCTAGTCTTTTCATTTGGAGTTTGGTAAACATGCATACCTTTATTGAAACTGGTGTAAGTACTCTTGTTTATGCTGATTTCATCACTGACTCACTATTTCTGATTCCTAATTGTTTATGTACCTTTTCTGTTGGTAATGTACTAATGTTTGTACTGTCTAGTTACTTGGTCATTCTTTACAAATCTATGGGTTGTAATACGTAAGATGATGCCATAAACTACAATAAATTGTACCTTTATTCATATTGTCTAATAGCGAACTTATGACATTGTTGTACTGCAGTTTTCTTTGAATTGTTTGTTATATGCATGAACTAGTTGTTCATTTTGAAAGGTTCAAGAGACTTACTGGTCGGAGTGAAGTTTCTGTATCTTCTCAAGACTATAAATACTACTCTCCAAGGCACAAGTACAGGCGTATTTTATCTAATGTTCCCGGATTACAGGTAAGTTTTAGTTTCCTTGTGGTTTCAGTTTCAGGGTTGCCAGTTCAGATTGATGAGAACCAGTGACGAGTCCTGTACAAAGGGAAAGTGAATTTGGGCTTCAAGCATGTTCAAGTAGGAATTGTTAGTTAGAAATAGAATCACTCTGTAGTTTTCAAGTATTAACAAAGGCCTAGTTATTCTGTTCCAGGAGTTTTTGAGTAACCTCATATATTTGTTGTGAAGATGATTATCTTTTGTGACATAGTTAAACCATAATGAGATGCTATTGTGTGTTGTTATATGAATGTTCTCTGATTACAGGCTTTATTTAGTTGTCAGATACGTATAATTAAACTTGATTGTGACTCGATATTTCCGCAGGCCACCCATGGGACAGATAGTTCATCTGCAATGTCTGCTGATCAAGGATTCCGCTCGGTAAGTACTGATTAAATTTTTATATTTAACAAATCGAGAGATTTTATTATTCTTTTTACTGCTGCACTTCGTGATATTCTCCCCTGAGTACTGTACTTAATTAGCAATAACTTATTGTTAAAATACATAAACCACCAGAACACCGCTTCAAATTAACTTTATTTTGTTTGACCGGAACTTGCTCAAGTGCGTCAAACTTATGGCAAGTTTTACCAAGTTGGGTGGGTATAACTTACATGAATAAATTGAGAATGGAATTAGGGATGGGGATCTTGTGAAGTTGTAATATATGTGTGATCATTGTTGATGTTAGCAAATAATGATTTGTTCAAATGGTTGTCATTTGGTTAGTTAACCTATAGTGGGGACCCGGGGGTCATGCTTATTTCTTTCTTTGGTGGTTTCCTGAAACTATCTTTTGCAGCCACATGGACACGAGCAGACTCCTCCGAAGCATAATGCACAACCTTTGGCAAACCAGCCACATTTTCATCCAGTTCTTCAAGCACATCAGAGCCAACATACTCCACACTTCTCTCAAAGCCATCAATGTGGACCAGCTCAGATGTCAGAGATGCCACATGCCAACCATTCGCCTACCATTTCTCAACACCTGTCGTATTTACAACCCCTTGCCGGAAGCCATCTCACAGGGCGTTTGCATTTAATGGTGAGAGCTATTGTGATTGAATATATTGACTGCGTAGGAACTAGGAGGACGGTCCAGGGTCCAGACACTAGAAAGGAACCTTGATTCTTTGAAAATCAAATGTTGTATGACAATCAGTTATAGGTCTTTCAGAGCACCCTATTGCATTTTTGCATTGCATAAACTCATCCCTGGCCAGTATGTTTTGACTGAAAGTTCTAAGCAAAAATCCTAGGAAGTTTATGACAAGAGGGGATCAAGTAGCTTATCAACATATCCAGCTGGTTCTTTCAGTGTCTTGGTTAATATGGTGTTTGCTTGCGTCATTCCTATAACAAAGGAGGCCTAGGATTAAGTTCTGTCTTGTAGGGATGGCTAGCTGACTTGATTTTGTCAACTTTTTCAGGCGAAGTTCTGCGATGAATGTGGTGCTCCTTATTTGAGAGAAACGTCAAAGTTCTGCTCTGAATGTGGCACAAAGAGGCTGGGAACATGAGCCAATGGCTCTGAACGTGGAATAGGGATTTCCTCCGATGTAAATTATTCTAGCGGTCCAGGGTGTTGTATCATTCATTGTCTGGTGTATTGGTTAGTTTGATGAAGCGTCAGACAGCAAGGGTTGTGGTCCGTTCGGGCTTTGATATTAGGTCGATGGTTCTCCTCTTCAGCTTTTTATGCTCTGTACGCAATTATTCTGTAATCTAAATGGTTGTTTGAAACTTGAGTTCTAAGTTGCTAAGAAGTTAATTTATAGGGCAATGTCTATTTTTTACCCAAACCTTTTTCAGATTCTTTTATTTTAACCAAACCTATTGAATTCCTAAAAATTATCCAAACGTTAACTCTCCGTCAACTTTTCTGTTAGTAACGCCGATTAAGTATGACCATAATGAGTTGACTTCCTCCGTGGCGGTCAGAATACCATCATTTACTATTTTTAATAAAAAGATTATCAAAAAACAAAACAAAATCTCACATCTCACGTGGACGAAATAAGTAACGGTAACATAATGAATGCCCAGACTTTGATAAATTATAATACGTTTGGATAATAAATAGAATTTCTATAAGTTTGGATAAAATAAAAGAATCTAAAAAAGGTTTGGGTAAAAAATAGACATTGCCCTAATTTATATGTGGATCATTGCTGCAAGGTTTGGAATTTTGACGATCTTGAAGGGTTTTCTGTTAAAATTTGGGTGGCTCGACAATTATAAAAAACTAGCGTTGTTAATAGAATTTCAGTAATCAAATTTGAGATATACCACTTATGGGTTTAATCCGCTGATTGATATCGACTCACCCACAAATAACCCGACCCGCAAGCAGTAGGTGATTGTTGTGGGTGGATAGCGGATTGATAAATCTCCCACCCGCACTTATGTGGGTGGGTTGTTGATGGATTGCGAGTCACTCAAATGACCCACATCCTATTTTCACATGAAAAAGTGTTGTTTTGACTACTATTATTGGTTATTGTGTTGTGTAATATCCATTAGACGTTAGATATTAGAATGTAAATTATTATTAATCTTCATTAAATATTGGGATGAAAATTTTAAATTATTAATTTTATCAAAATCACAAAATGCGTAAGTTTTCTCTACACAATTGGTTGATAGAATAGTAAAAAAATTATGCAAATACTATATGGATTCACTTGAGACAAGTGAGAAGTGTTTAAATTGATACAGTCTTACTAATTTACTGCGAACTTATTATAAATGTTAACCAACTTTCTTAATGGTTAGTTGGAGAATTGCTTTTCCGGGTTAACCCACGACCCAACTACACTCATCCGCCACCCACCCAACCCGATCTGCAGAAGAATGTGGGTGGATTGCGGGTCACAATTATTCCAACTCGCTAGTAAGCGGGTGGGTCAATTTGAAACGAAAACCCACCCAACCCACCCCTAATTCCATTAATAGAATACAAAATCTTATGTGTCAAATATGAAACAAATTAATAATTTTAGTCACCAAACTTGTAATTTAGGCAGGAAAAAAAAAGTTAGTAACCGAACTTTTTTTTTTTGTCATAGAAATCCTCCCGGATTAACCAGATAAGCGTGTGGGGTCACAGCAATTACAACCCCTACACGGACTCAAGACAGACCATATAAGAATAATCAAATAATACATTACAAATACCAGGATAGCGAAGGGCATTACGTGCCACAATATGGGCAGCCCGGTTCACTTCTCGAGGTGTGAAGGCCAAAGTAACCAAAGGTAGACTGTGGAGAAGAGATAACACTTCACGATATATTGCGCCGCACCGAACATCACGAGGATTATTATTCTGTAACCGCTCCAACACCGCTTGTGCATCCCCAGTAATCTGAACAGGTTGATCATACCATCCCCAACGGGAAAGGAGTAGTAAAGCATACCGGATCGCCAATAATTCCGCAGTTGAAGCATCAATTATCCCTGGTAGAGCACACCCAAATCCAAACGTAGCCTGACCGCCATGAAAGCCAACAATACCAACCGCACCATGAGTGGGAGATGATGTCGCACCGTCCACAGCAATCCGAAATCCGGAACTCAATTGTGGAGCACGTAGTCGGCGAGGTGGTGGTGCCTGGGCGAGAATTGGAGACTGGATGGCAATTTGATGATCAGCCTGGTGTGACAGTAATTGACGATGAAGGCAGGCGATGGAAAACTGGGCGTGGGGGAGGAAGACAACATTGTTACGACTTTTCCATAGTCGCCAAAATAATAGTACCCAAGAACTAATAGAGGTGATATCCGCATTGAATATGAGATGTCGCCAAAACAATGAAAGATTAGTGGTGAGAAGGAGACCAGGAGGCAAATCGAGCCCTACCAAATTACGCAAAGCAACTGCCACCGGACAGCGAAGAAATAAATGCTCGACTGATTCACCTTTTGTGGACTCACAAATTGGGCATAATTCTTCAACTATGGAATAAAAGCCTTTTCTGTGTTTGAGAGTCTTAAAAGCCCATTTTTCTCAACTATGGAATCTATACTATAGGCCCAATTACTGTCCTCTCACAGTTTCAGCTTACTCCTTGCGAGTTTCAAACGGAACGCCCGAAAGCAGTTTCGGAGCTCTCACAAAACCCTCCATCCCGGGAACGAGCCAGCGCATCATCGTCACACCATGCCTGCCTGCTTAAACCCTACTACTGCTATTCTTCACAACCCCTTCGGCTCGTTAGTTTCTACAGAAACACCAGATGAAGCTTCCCCTCGCTCTCTAGATACCTGCAAATGAAGCTCCTCATCTTCCGGGCGCTTCTCACTCTTCTCCTCTCAGCAATGCTATTTTCACTCCGCAGTCTATTCCACGTCCGCCTGCGCAGCAGCCACCGGCTCTGGTTCACCTCTCACCCTCTCCTTCTCAACAACTACAACAATCATATTCGTTTTTTAGTCCCTCATTCGCCCAATGTGTCTTTAATCTCCTGCCCGTGTATTTGGTTCGCTGGGTTTCTCTGTATCCTTAGGTTGCCGTTTGCTACTAGGACAGTCTCCACAAACTCTGATGTTGTCATCGGAGAGTTGGACAGGGATTCAGTAAGTAAAATTGTTCAGCAGGGCTGTTGGGACGATCCCAGAATCGTAGGGCTCGTTGGTTCTTCTTCCTCTTTGGCTCCTTTACGGGTTTCCAGGGTACTGCTGGTGTTACGGCATGACCCGCGATTGGCATTGAAATTCTTCAATTGGGCGAAAACCCTCATTGGGTTTCGCCACACCACGGAATCCTACTGCTTATTGGCTCACATTTTGTTCTACGGCAGAATGTATTTCGATGCCAATGACATTCTTAAGGAGTTGGTCTTAGCAGGCAGGAGTTTGCCAGGTTTCGATGTGTTTGAAGTTTTGTGGTCGACTAGGAATGTTTGTGTCTCGGGTTATGGAGTTTTTGATGCGCTTTTTAGTGTGTATATAGAACTAGGGATGCTTGAGAAAGCTGATAATTGCTTTTCGAGGATGAGAAGTTGTAGAGTGTTGCCTAAAGCACGATCATGCAATGCCCTCCTGCATAGGCTAGCCAAGGGAGGGAAGAAAGAGGATGGTGCTATTAGGAACTTCTTTAGGAATATGGTTGGTGCTGGAATTTCTCCCTCTGTGTTTACTTACAACATCATGATAGACCATGTGTGCAAAGAAGGGGATATTGAAGCTGCTAAAAGCTTGTTTGAGGAAATGAAGCACAAGGGTGTGATGCCAGATGTTGTAACTTACAATTCGCTCATTGATGGATATGGGAAATTAGGCTTTTTGGAGAATTCAGTGGGGTTATTTGAGGAAATGAAGCAAGCAAGTTGTGAACCTGATGCAGTAACCTACAATGCATTGATTAATTGTTTTTGTAAATTCGATAGGATTGCTAGAGCTTTTCAGTTTTTCTCTGAGATGAAGCATAATGGAGTCAGACCTAGTGTCATAACTTACAGCACACTGGTTGATGCATTGTGCAAGGAAGGAATGATGCAACAGGCCATCAAATTTTTTATAGACATGAAACGCCTTGGTTATTCTCCCAATGAATACACTTATACTTCTCTTATTGATGCAAATTGTAAAGCTGGAAATTTGAGTGAAGCATTGAAGCTGGCCAACGAGATGCTCTGGACAATAAGTTCTGAATTGAACATTGTTACATACACAGCTTTATTAGATGGCCTTTGTAAAGGAGGGAGGATTACAGAAGCAGAAGAACTTATCACTGGGATGCTGAATGCTTCAGTAGCTCCTAACCTGAAAACTTACACTGCTCTTGCTCATGGATATATTAAAGGTAAGAGCAAGGAAGATTATATTGAATTTTTGAAGCAAATAAAGATGAAAGGATTTCAGCCTGATTTGATGCTTTTTGGGACCATCATCTGGGGGCTTTGCACTGAAAGGAAGTTTGAAGAATGCAAGCTTGTTATGTTTGAGATGAAACAGCAAGGTATTGGTGCAAACCCTGTCATATACACAACACTTGTTGATGCTTATTTCAAAGCTGGAATGACCGCGGAGGCACTCGATCTGGTACGGGAAATGTGGGACTCGGGTGCTGAGGCTACAGTTGTAACTTTTTGTGTACTAATTGATGGGCTGTGCAAGAAGGGTATGGTTCAAGAGGCAATTGATTACTTTACTACGATGCCCGACTATGGTTTGCAACCTAATGTAGCAGTCTACACTGCCTTGGTGGACGGTCTTTGTAAAAATAATTTCATAGAAGCAGCTGTGACTTTGTTCAATGAAATGCAGGAGAAACATATGATTCCCGATAAGACAGCATACACTACTCTAATAGATGGGTATCTGAAGCATGGTAGCTTGCAAGAAGCATTAAATACAAGAAACAAGATGGTCCAGCTAGGTTTGCAGCTTGATCTTCATGCCTACACTGCGTTGGTTTCAGGTTGTGCTAGATGTGGCAATCTACAGCAAGCTAGGATATTTCTTACTGAAATGATTGATAATGGCATTTTTCCAGACCGGATGCTTTGTGATAGCCTACTAAAGAAGTATTATGAGCAAGGCCTTACTGTTGAAGCGATCGAATTGCAAAATGATTTGGCAAAGAAGGGTCTGATAGATGGCAGTTACGACTGTGTTGTTCCTGAAGTCTGAGATGGGTCTTATGCTCCACATCAAGACACTGAAAACATTTGAATAGAATGGATACTGATAAGGTCCGTCACGAAAAGAACCAATTGATACATGAGTGTGAGGTTGTCAGATGACGGACTTACTCACTCGTGCTTTTCTTGGATCAACAACTTCCAAAGAACTTTGTTGTAAGTCTTACTCTCAATTTTCTGCTCTTGATATTTGTTGATGTCCGTTTCATACTGCCAACTGTAACTTTGTGAAGCTGAACCAAACTTGCAATTGAGTGAATGTGTAATTCTTGCTCCATTGTATTTGTCGTCATGTAGCTCACTTGCAAGTCTTGCTGCAAAGCATTTACGTAAGTTTTGTATTCAAGGCATAATGTGCTCGAAGAAGCAAGGCACTTCGTTGGCAAATCACAAAAGTGAAAATGATTGAATCTCCAGAGTTCAATGTGTATTCCTGAAATGGTTCGTGAGTTGACTACTTTCATGATTATGGTGCACTTAGCTTCTTATCTTCTTAGCTGATAATGTGGCTTTAGGTGAAACTATTGGAAGGCTGTTCTGCTACCCTGTCCCTTAACCTTGATAAAAGGCCGCTTCAGCAGGATTTGATGTATTTTGGAGGCATGGTGCACAAGCTTCCGGATTCCATACTTTCGTCGGCTTCGTGTTACTGCTTTTTATCTTCACAGGTTCCTTTTTCCACCCTGTTTCAGTCTCTAGCTTCTGCTTTTGCTCAACAATAAAGAATAAGCAGTGGCTCACTGTTTCTATGGTGTCTTACACTTGCCATTCTCTACATGCAGTAATAGCTTTGTTGTATACATTTGGTATCTAGCAGATCAACTCATTTCAACAGCTAGTGAGAATAAATGCGTGGTACATTGTTCCCCTTACTGCAACTTGGTTCTTGTGTGTTCTAATTTGAAACTTACATCATCTCACTCTGCATTTTTGCCCCTTGTTACTTGGACTTACAGACCGAAGAGTTGGAGCTTTCGGAAGACAAACAAGAGCTCGCTCTGAAGGACACACTTTGGTGAGGATGGTGAGAATGAGGAAATAGTTCTTCATGGTTGCTGCCTGCCTTTGTGGGTGTCCACTGTTCAGTGGAATGTTGTATGTTTCGGAACAGAACGACTGTAAATTGTAGCAAAATTGTAGATCAAGAATGTGGGTTGATTACTATGGATGTCTGATTAAGTCTTTATAATCTGTAATGTAACTGCCATAATCACAAAAGGAAATGTCAAAACAGATTATTTTTCTCAAAGAACAAAACACTAACGATAAAATGGCGATATAGCCATGTGTGAAGATATCGTGTTTTAACTCTATATTTTGGCGACAAATTGATGTAATATAAATTCATAAGGGGTAAATTGCAAGTTTGGTCACTAGAATTACTATAAAATTTCACGTTTGCCACTGAGATTAATTTATTCCATCCATAGTCACTCAAATTAGTTACACAGTCCAAATTTGGTCACTGGCCGTTAGTCTCCGTTAACTTTTGCTGAGGTGGCAGTCAACTCTCATAGTTGACTGTTAAATAGGTGACGTGGCAATTAAAAATTAAATAAAAATTTTAATTTAATTTATTAAAAATTCCACCTCATTATCATAATAATTAAAAAATAAATAAAACATAAAATTATAATTATCAAAATAAAAATGTAAAATTTCTTCCCCAATCCCATCATTGTCTATCGTGATGTGCCTTCGCCGGTGATTACCGCTCTTCGGCGATCCTAACTAGAAGCACATTGAATTCATAATCCCTAGCAGCTAGCACTCACTACCCTGTCACCGGTGCCTCTACAATAGCTCATCGATTACCCAAACTGTAAAAGAGGCGGCAACTTCGATTCGCAAAAAAGCAACCAAGTCATGGCAAGCGTCGACGCAGAATCAGCCCGCCGGAATTCAGGGTCGGGAACAGAGCAACAGTGTGGGCGGCTCTGGGGAAGGCGGATCTCCAGCTGGTCGTAGTCGGATTTGTTAGTTATCAAACAAATAGGTGAGAATTGGATCTAATTCAAAGAAATCAAGAACTAAAAAGATAAGAAGGCATACCTAATCATTTTCTCGTGAGAACATCGAAGAATGAATTGAATTGGTTACTCCAGCCAATCCTGCAAAGTGAAGCAAAATTCATGAAGCAGCAAGAAGACAAAAGTAGTGGAGAGGAGTGGAGGAAATCCCGGGTAACTGATGCCAGGTGAGGAAGAGGCGTCGCCTTCGATGGTAGTAGCCCCACCGAAGAAGATGAGGCGAGGACCATGAGTCTTGGTAGCTGCGACGACGATCAAGGTGTCCTAGTAGGTTTCTAGTGAACGATAGGCAGGAGCCGATATAACCACGGCTTGGAACCCATTGTTGCAGGCAAAGCTAGCAAGGGGGAGAAGGAGGAAGAAGGGAAAGCGAAGATCAGTGAGAAAGTTTTTGAGAAACTTTACCTTAGCTTGGAAGTCGACGGAAGTGGACTTATGGAAGCTTTATAATGAGGTGGAATTTTTAGTTAATTTAATTATTTATTTTTTAATTGCCACATCACCTATTTAACAGTCAACTATGAGAGTTGACTGCCACCTCAGCAAAAGTTAACGGAGACTAACGGCCAGTGACCAAACTTGGACTGTGTAATTAATTTGAGTGACTACGGATGGAATAAATTAATCTCAGTGGCAAACGTGAAATTTTATAGTAATTCTAGTGACCAAACTTGCAATTTAGCCAAATTCATAATCAAGCAGCTAACGATCGATTAAGAACTCTTAAGAAAGTTTGCATAGAAAGAAACCCTGCTTTCCGTAAATTTTCAAGTAGTCCAATCAATCACAGCAGAGACAGCATTTATGGTTCATCTACTTCGTTCCATTCTCTGCAACTTCCTTCCCCCGATAGCCACGTCCACCACTTCCCGCCGGCGATTCCCTCTCCCTCCTCCCTCCGCAGTCACAATGTCGTCCCGCGGCTCCGCTTCTTTGTCCGTCCGCCGCGCTCTCTTCATCTTCACCTCCGGCTTCATATCATTCGTCCTCTTCTACAGCTTCGTCGCTTCCTTCTCCCTCCGCATCTTCTCCTTCCCCACCGTCCCCGCGGTTCGCTTCCCTAACTATTTCTCATCTTTCTACGAAGTAAGTCTGGTTTACTCGCCATTCCTCAGCCAGTTACTTACTGCACTCTTGAATTTTTCGTTGAGCTGGATGGATTAAAAACCTTGGGTGGGGGCTTTCTGTGATCTGTATATAGCCTAGCGACGAAGAGAAGCTTGACATTGTACTGAGAGGTGCGGCCATGGAAGACAACAGGACAGTAATTCTGACGACATTGAATGAAGCTTGGGCGGCGCCGAACTCTGTGTTCGATCTCTTCCTTGAGAGCTTCCGCACTGGATTGCGCACCCGTAGACTGTTGAGCCATTTGGTCGTCATAGCGTTGGACGAGAAAGCCTATCGCCGGTGTAAGGAACTGCACGGCCATTGCTATGCTCTGGTGACGGAGGGAGTTGATTTTCGGCACGAAGCCTATTTCATGACTCCAGCCTACTTGAAGATGATGTGGAGAAGGATCGACTTCTTGCGCACTGTGCTTGAATTGGGTTACAATTTCGTCTTCACGGTAATCATTCACTCCCCCTGCCTTCATTTCTGTTTACATTTTCTCTGTAACTAAGCCATATTGTGTAGTGAATGTTTTTCCATGTTAACTTCCAGGACACAGATATAATGTGGTTTAGGGATCCATTTCCACGGTTTTATCCAGATGCGGACTTTCAGATTGCTTGTGATCTCTATTCAGGGGATAGTCTTGGACTAGGAAACATAGTCAATGGAGGGTTTAGTTATGTGAAGGCCAATAATCGTTCGATAGAGTTTTACAAGTTCTGGCACTCGTCACGCAACACTTATCCTGGCCATCATGATCAGGATGTGCTGAATTTTATCAAGAAAGATGAGTATGTAAAGGATCTTGGGTTGAAGATGAGATTCTTGGACACTGCTTATTTCGGAGGACTTTGTGAGCCGAGCAAAGATTTTAACTTAGTTTGCACAATGCATGTGAACTGTTGTTTGGGTTTGGATAACAAGCTGAATGATCTTAAAGTGATGCTTGCGGACTGGAGGAACTTCTTGAGCTTACCGCCAAAGCTGAAAAGAGAACTACGGATCTCATGGAGGGTTCCCCAGAACTGCAGGTGAGATATATAAGTTTACTGTAATTTTTGGGAATGAATATTTGAGCTTGGAATTCTCTGACTTGCCACATACTTCTGGTATATGAATTTTGTGCTGTTGTATAATGTTGTTTGGCGGTTATTTTTCTAGTATTGATGCTGTCCTTGCGCATGATTCTCTACGAAAACGTGTTGAAGAAGATGAAGGGGAAGAATAGCAGCGTTCAAGGAAGCATCGGTGAAGTCTCTCGTGAAAGCAAACCCAGAAGGTAAGCTTCTGCCCTGCATAGGTGAAATGTCACTAGAAAGTTGGTGATTGAATGTAACTGTCTGAAGGGTGAATAACCCCTGAAGTATTATTGTATGTTTAATCCACCTAAAGCAGATATTCCTAGGTGTCCTTCTCCTATATCGCTTACCAGCCATTATGTAACTAGGGATGTAAACTGTTAACTGCTACTGCTTCCTGCATTTATGAAACTTTAGAGGCAAGAGTTTATGTTACTTCGTTGATGGAAAATTATTGAGTTTTGCATCTGACCTTTCCTTTCAAAGAAAGTTTTTTGTTGGGCTGGTAGATGAAATTTTGGGTCCATCAGTCGAGCAAAAGCCGAGAATTTCCCCATGCAGATTGAGCTACTAATCTTGCTGGGACTCCATAGGTTTAAAGGTTTCCACCCTTCTTTAGGGCTTTGATCTCGCCTACACCATAATAAGTGAGAAATTGTAGTTTTTCACAGTTCATTGAGAACAAATGCATGAACACCCCACGTCAATGACTTTGAGCAATGATATTGAGAACTGGCTTGTGGTTCTAATAGTTTTCCCTTGCATGGCTGCCTCAGAAAGTCCCAGCTAACTATGACAAATTGTGCGTCAGTAACAATACAGTGGTTGAACATGAAGCAACCACCCATCTACAGTAGTTGCTTCAATAAAAAGTGGAGATAATAGCAGGTTATATTCGAGCTGCAATTGGCTTCTTAATTACAGTCTCATAAGCACTGGAACTCCATGGCATAGAATCTACCAAATTTGGAAGATGGGTGCTGCTAAACAGGTGCAACTGGCAGCGGAGCTAGAAAGTCTACAGGCTGCAGCAACAGCAAACAGTTCAACAGCAAAAGCTTATCATTCTTCAAGTCCAGTCAGCTAACTACATTCTCCGAGAACTAAGGAGCGTTCAAGCCTTGGATGGGGAAGGGAAAGCAGTTTTGGGGAAGAGCTTTTGACATTTGTCACTAACTTATGCATGTAATTTTTCCTTCCAGTGTAAACTTGTGTATGTGTGTCTGAACTTTCAGTATAGAGTATGTTATTTTTTGTCACTTTAGATATAGAAACCACCCAGTTTAATGTACGAATTTATCATGGACTAAGGCAAGAGTTCCAGTGATAGTTGAGGTGTAAGAATGATCCGAGCTTAGTGCAACTTGAAATACATCAAAATCTTCCATCCACCTGCATAAATCACTTAGCCATCAATTCTTCAATGGAATCTATCGACCATCAATCACATTCAGAAGTATATCGTACCTCCAAAGCAAATTGGTGTTGAGACTCATCATTCTTGTGGAATACCGATACAAGATGCAACAGAGTTTTGTAGATTATTTGCTACAGGCAGAAATCGTATTGCGATATGAATTACTCGCGATTCACTCGGTTTCTGGGACATGATCGTTATTTAGTAGAGTTGGCCGAGTGGTTCAAGGCGTAGCATTGAAACTTATTGCTCAAGGAATGTCGACTACATAACATAAGCAATCACAATTGGGAATGCGGAAGCAAAAGCTTCTGTAATGATCGCCCCACAAGCTGACCAAGTAACGATTTCAATATGAGCAGGTGTATCAACTAGAGCATACTCAAGCTGATCTGCTCCCTTCTCTATCATAGAAAGAACAAATTGGAGCATATACTGGGAAATTGTGAGACTCTTCCAGTGATACACAATGACAAGATGAGACTATAGGCAAGTCGTCTCATCAGGCACAAGGAACACCAGAAAAGATAATGACTTCACTCCAACTATTGCTGCAACAGTTTCTTAAACCTGTACCTCAACAACCTTTGTGGCCAACAAGTAGAGTGATCTTAGAATTCCACCAATCGGTACGAGATTGAACTGCTTTAACCCTTTCCTTGTCCTTACCGTATCCCTGATATCAAACGGGAGAGCCATCACATCAGGGTCAAGATTCGAGACGTAACCCAGGATGTTTGAATCATGGAAATGGATCCCTAAACAATATTATATCTGTATCCTGGAGTACAGATCATTAAGTTTCTGAATCATGACTTATCTTTACACTTCATTATGGTCATATACACAAGAGGAGATGGAGATGGGATGACTCCAATGTTTTCATCGGCAACATGAAGGGAAGAGTTGATGCAATCTCTCCTATTGATTAACCACCATGGAAAGCTCTCACATTATGGCCATCTGTTGCAGTTTTGGTGCACATCCCTTGTGCAGGTTTATGTATAGAACTCTAGCTAGGAAAAGCTGGCGACTTTTTGTTTGTCTGTTTGTCTGTTTGTATGAAGGACATTCATCTTCAATTCTTCATGGTTGTTTGATGCAATTGAGCCGAGTATATTTTTGTGAATAATGGGTAGAGATACTCGTCAGTTTTGAGGGCTACTTGGGATTTAGATCAGGAAAAAAGTCAGCAGCTGGTTTTCTTTACAAGTACGCAATTCCATTGTCCAGGAGCTGGAAAGACTATATGCAATCAAGCTTGATCTCAGATTATCATGAATGGCTAAATATAATCAAGTTTCAACGGGAAAGCACAGTTAACAGAGCCATAAACATCCCCCGGCCTAAGCAGAAAATACCACATCGCCAAGGAGAGGATGCGAAGGTGGGCAAACTGTTGTATATAATAACTCGATAGCCCGTCGGAGAAAAGCATCTTTGCGCTTGGGGCAATGACGCAGCTAGTGAGGTAATAACCGAGGCGCGTCAATTGCTGGTTGAAAACTATTTCCAAACCCCCTCTTAGGCCGCGGCTTGCCCGTGGCCTTCGAGAATTTCTGGAAGGGCTCCCCTCGGGGTAAAGCCCTACAATTCTTAGTCCAATTCTTTTCCTCACGGGCTTTACCCGAAATCATGTCCAATGGGCTTTTTTAAGTAAACTGGGCCTCTACTTCCCAACTGAAGCAATATATGGAGTTGTTTTGATGGCTGGTTCAGGTCTGGGTCTTCTATTCTGATCGAGCAGCTGTTGGAGAAGCCAAATAGTACGTTGAATTTTATACTCTCGTTCGAAGGCGGGGGAAAGAAAAACCTGAATCCCAGATGTTATGTTCTGCAGCAATTCTGACTTGGCTGAGGATGCGCAAATCTCCATTTTACAGCAGCACCCTTCTCTCCAGCCTCTGTAATATCAACGTCAGAAGCCATACACTTGGTGGTACTAGAGTTCTAGTAAAAAGAAAGAAACCCAGGCACAAAAGGCTGATGGTGTGTGGCTAAAGAAGAGGAGTCCACCACCCAAAATTAAATACCACATCGAAAGGCGGACACAAGACCACCGCCTTCCCTGAGCATGCGACGCTATAAGAGCGGACTTCAACGTACATCGTATCCTCACGCAGCCTTGCAGTGAGTACATAGCGAACTATTCTTTCGCCTTTTACTAAAGAATACCGTGTATGCTCTGTTTAAAAGAGGCATACGTCAATTTTTGGAGGGGTGTTTCTTAATTGAAATGCCCCAACAATATTTAGTTCAATTGTTTCTTTATTATTGTTTCTTGTATAGTTTCTAAGTTTTGGAGTGGTGTTTCTTAATAAAATGCCCCAACAATATTTAGTTTAATTGTTTCTTTACTATTTTTTGGGTTAATAGCATTTTATACCCTTATATTATGACAAATTAATAAATGTATCCTCGTATTATATTTTTACACAAACATACCCTTGCCATATTAACAAATGTACCCTCGTATTACCCTCGTATTATATTTTTACACTCGTATTATATTTTTACACAAACATACCCTTGACAAATTAACAAATGTACCCTCGTATTATATTTTTACACAAACATACCCTTCTAATATAGAAACTTAACAATAATACTCTTCCGTCCGAAAATCTGTTTACTAACCAATGGGGTGAGGAATTATTCTATTCCGTCGAAGGAATTACTCTAATTAGTAATTACCCCTTACTTTACTGAAATTCATTCTTACGTTTTTTGTCCCAACCAAAAAAAACCCCTAATTCTTATCCTTCTCCCTTCGATCGTCGAACACGGCCAAGGTTGTCAACCCGTGGGTTGACCTGGACCCAGTCGAACTAGTGGGTCAAGAGTTAATGGATCAACCGTTTTAGTCCGGTTTGGCCCGGAAATATAGAAATGGTCATTATATTGTACTTATCCTCATAAATTATATCAAATCTTATCTAACATATGAGTTATAACATATAATATTACACCAAAATAACATATCGTACTTAGATCCAACATATAGTGAAATTTCACACTTATACAACATAAATATTCAAATGTTCAACTTAGTATTCCAAAGATTGAGTTAGGCGAAAAGAAAAATTGGAAAATAGGCGCATTTCGCAAACTAAAGAAAAAAATGACACAATTTGACCTCCAACCCGATATCTTATAGCGATCGGCCCGACGAGTGCGTGCGGCCCATTTTTCTCACCGAATCAGGGTCAAATTGGGTCGACCCATGGGTCAACCCGCGGGTTGACAACCTTACACGCCTCTTCTTCATTCACTCCGCCGCCCACCGCCGTTCGTGGTCAGCTTCAACAACGCCCGCCCCAGCTAATCCACTGGCGATCAGCTCCACCTCCGGCGCCAGCCACTCCACCGATACCCATATGCTCCTCGGATGACGGCGACGACAGGAGCAGAATTCGACCGAGGCAGATTTTGACGGCGACGACAAGACTAGAGTTCAAAAGTTGCAGAAATATGAGGGTGAGAATTAGACTTCTCCCCTCCGCCAATTGCCCCTTCGATAAGTCGATCTTGACTTCTGCTAATAAACTAATCTAACTCCTAGGTGTTTCTCCTTGAAGAAATAAGCAATAGCAAGCTCATTCTTTTTGGCGGATGGGTTGAGGATTTTTGTCGATGTTGGTGTTTTTCGGCGAGAAAACTTGCGTTGAAATGAGATTAATGCACCTTTGACTTCTTTGGACAACGATTTCTAAGACACGGCTCAAACCTCTTCAAACAAAGTTCGAACGAGGGTGTTTGATTGATGGTTTCTGGGAACGAGATCTAAATTAAATTACTCCTACTCCTATGGAGGTTCGGCGAGAGCTCCAAACTACGAACTACATCTATGGCTACATGATAGAGAAAAGGTAAATGATAAACTTGACATGTGTGTCAGAGTGTTGGTTTTGGAACCCTTGTCTCTGTCGACCCCTCCTCTTATTTATAGCCCCGAGGAGGTAACCGCCATAGAAAACCGCTTGTTGGATAACTGCTACAAAGAACTGCTCCCCCTTCTTCGGTAGAAAAATCGCCCCTTGGATAACTCCCAAAAAGAACCGCTCCCTGCTTCCTCAGAGTGGTGGTTACTCCTTCAACCGCCTTGGGGCCCCTCTTGTAACCGTCGTGGGTCTTGGAGTGTAGCTTGCCTGGCCTAGTCTTGTTCTGAATCTCGTGTCATGCTAGTCTTTTGATGAGCATGTGGTGTCTCACAAAGGGGGTCGTGGTCTTCTTGCCTCGCGGCCATGGACTTCTTACTCATGTCCATGGCCTTCTTGTCTTACGGCCATGAACTTCTTACTCATGTCCATGGCCTTCTTGGGACTTAGTCACTAATGATATAATGCTCCACCACTACGACCTTCTCATTCGTGTCCATGGCCATCCTCGTGAGGTGGCATGGACCTCTCAATCATGCACAAGGCCCCTCTCATGAGGCGGCATGGCCTTTCCAAACTTAGTATTTTCAATAATTTCTAATGCTTCTTGCTTCGCGTCCATGGTCATCACATGACACGGCCATGGACCTCTTAATCATGCACATGACCCTTCTCGTGAGGCGACATGGCCTTCTCAGACTTAGTATATTTTGGATCATGAGGCGACATGGCCTCCTCATTCGCGGCCATGGACTTCTCAGTCATGTCTGTGGCCCTTCTCGTGACACAACATGGCCCTCTCATACTTACTATCTTTTCTTGCGTCCATGCCCCTTCTCGTGAAGTGGCATGGACGTCTCATCTTGTCTCGCGTCCATGCCCCTTCTCGTGAGGCCTTGGTTATGAGGCGGCATGGACCTCTTGTTGAAGTGGCACATGCTTCTCCTTGAAGCGGCATGTACCTCTTCCAGACTTAGTTTATTTTTCAGTCATTCAGTCTTGATCTTGAGGCGGTATGTGCTCCTCGATTTCTAGATGGACATGACCCTCTTCGCTGAGGCGACATGTCACTCTCCAGACTTAGTGGCTTGGGCTTAAAATCAATATCCATAAGGCCCAACTTAAACAATCTTAATTGTTATAATGGGTGTGGCCTTATAAACTCATTAATTATCTTGTAACTCAACAATGTGGTACAAGACAAATTTTATGGAGTAAACCGTTGGGATAAGCAGTACAGGGGGGTGGAGGGTTTATTTGGAGGAATAAGATGTATGAGGGAGGTTCGTCGGTTGTGCTTTGATCGATCGGCGTTGAAGGGTTGAATTTCAGTGTAAGTTTTTCTTTTGGCAGGAAAGAAAAGTTAAAAATTAATTTCAGTATAAGCAAGGGTAATTGAATAATCTCATACCCCATTTAACGATTAGTATACAGATTTTTGGATTGAAGGGTATTATTGTTATGTTTTGATATTAAAAGGGTATGTTTGTGCAAAAATATAATACAAGGCTACGTTTGTTAATTTGTAATAATAGAGGAGTATAAAATGCTATTAACCCTTATTTTTTCTTGTACAGTTTCTTTATTATTGTTTTGTAACATGGGCATTCCTATTGTACATAACGTGGAGCATTGACCATGTTAGTGACACATAATAACACATTCACATTAGAAACTGAACGAGATAGGCACCACAAGAGGGAGTCTTTCAGAGCAAGGAGCTCAATGAGAAAGAGTATAAAATATGAGAAAGAGGTATAAAATATGGTCGTAGAGGCGGTCAAAAGTGAAATAGATCAATCGCCAAACAAACCTACGAAACCAATAGCACCACTCACATAGGCTTTTGTTGCTCCATCGAAGTGGACGAAAACAGCTCATTGGGAATGGGTGATGGTGGTTCGAGGCTACGAGAGGGTTAGGGGTGGGCAACTGGTTCGGTAAAAACCGAACCAAAACTGAAATAATGTTACTCGATTTTCCGGTCGAAAAATATGGGTATTTCGAAAATCATGGTTATTTTAATCGAATCAAAAGTTCGAATTTTTGACCAAAAATTACTATAATTGCAAGCTCCAAATGGTGGATTTTTATGTTTGTAGTTGTTTCGAGACTTAAATATTTGAATCATATTAGTGTTTTACGTTGAAATGTTTGCTTTTATCATTGATGATGCATATAATTACACATTCATTGTTTATATTAGGGGTGAAAATAATTTGAAAGGAGAAGTAGCCTCACAAATTCGATTTTGTGTGAAATTCCGAATCGAACGAATTATAATTCAGTTTCTACCAACCGAACCAAATTATAATTCGGTTCAAATTTGGTTTGAGATTTGATGAAATTCGGGGACCGGTATTCATAATTTCGGTTTGGTCGAAACTGAACCGACCGAATGCCCATCTCTAGAGAGGGCGAAGGGGAAGCCATTAAAGCACGAGATTGAAAAGTTGTAGCTTGGGATGCGGTCCATTTGGTTTCCTAGTCTAGTGGTCTTCCATTTAGCATAATAGAGTAGATGGATCATGGAAGGAAACTGAATACCATCATAAGCAGTGGCGTAGCCCGGATTTTATTCAAGAGGGTGCCATAAAAAAATTACATATTGTGAAATTATTATATAACTATATGAATCCACCAAACTATCAACTTTTCACGCTTAACATTTATCTTAACATTTATTTATTTAAATCTTTCAAGTTTCAATTAATTCAGGGGTTAATTGTATGCTTGGTTACTGAAATTATAAAAAACGT